AGGAGTGATGCAGTAGCGCTCAAATGCGTGCAATGCGTATCACCCACGGGAGAACTGCGGTCCATCGCGACCCCGCGAGCAATTGATTAATGGAGGCGAAGCAGCAGCTGACAGTCTTCCTTGAGAATTAATCACCGACCGGAGGAGTGTGGCCAGGCAGCTCGCCCCTCCTCGCATTGAGTGATTCGAGAAACGCATTGACTTCCAAACACATTAGTCGACTCATGGTGTGATTTATTCGCGACATGTAGCACAAATAATAACCCACCATGGGCTTTTATGGTAATGCATCAATTATACTTGAGATGCTTGACATCATTTCGCACAAATACCAACGCCTCACGTGCAGACGGGCGAACATGCTCGCCGGGATAGGAGTTTCCACTGATTTTTCCCGCATGTCACACAACACTCCTTTCTGCGAAAAGTCCTCACGGTTGTGCAGACGAGGAAAAATGGCCCAGACATTTTTCAAAGCAAGAAAAAAACTTCCTCCGTTCACCATAAACTTTGGCACACAGTCTCACTGACACGACATAAAATTTATTACCAACTAAGAGTGTGTAGGAGCCCTGACCTGCACCAAACTTATTACATATTCTGTACCATCGGAGAGCCTCTCGCTTTCACAGCACAAGAGCGCGCGAAAAAGCTCGGGACGCCCGATAAGAGGCCTCACATGGAAAATTTCCATCGCTGTAGTGAGAAAAGGCTGCTCCAAATGGCACTCAATTCCAGGATGGAATTTCATCATCTTGGCAATCAGTTGCGGCGAAGCGCAGAAAAGCGCGATGCTATCGGTCAGTGGAAATGGGAAATGGCACAATAATAATTCGCCTTATCGGGAAAAATTGAGTGTTTGCGGCGGTGGTAGAAACACCTGAGAAAAATGCATTGTTGAGTGCTTTTGTGGTGAAAATTCACAATCAGTCTTGCCAAGTGAAGACAGATCCACGTTTCTGCCAAGGGGGATTTATATCGTGGGAATTTGCCAGAGATCAGAAAATCTCTACACTATTCTCCTATGCCGAATGCTATTGATTTACCCTCAGAGACAATGACACGAGGAAGAGTAAAATGAAAGCTCTTCCCAACAACTCTCACTGTCTGTGGAAATTGATTTGAGGCTTTTCCACTTCTCTGTGAGAACAATGCCACTTGCACGAAGGGTGAAAGAGTCGAGGGTGACGAGAGGAAGTGCATCTCATGGCGCTATAAATAGACCGAGAGAGGTGTTGGAAAGAATCTCGAGGAAAATTATTTCCATATGCATCTCAAACATGAATCCAGAGCTATTCTTGGGAGATTTTCACTTCGCACGAGAGCACTTTCTTCACCACAAGTACATCAGAGGTCAAAATTGCAGGTATTTCAGCGAAATACGCGACAGAGGTTAAACTTCTAATTAAATAGCATTTGCCATACAATTTCCCACAAGATATTATCCCATAAACCATTGAGTCTCTTATCAATTCAGCAATAACAATCAATTAAAAAGCCTATCATGCAATTGCATAACTATAATTAATAATTGCAAAATAATTCCACATACTGAAAAGCTCTCCTCTTGTATCTAATCAAATATAAAAACAAATCGCTCTTTGAGCTTTGTTCATATTAAAAACTATCACTATTGTATGCAAAAATGGGTTTTCTTCCTTATTTTTCTGAGCGCCATTAATTGGCTTGAATGGAAAATTGACATGAAATGCTAGGCTTTTTCCTGAAGACGAGCGCACTTGGACGCGAGTGAGGATGCGAAATGTAAATATTTGTAGTGGAAATGATAAACAAGGCTCACATTTGCTGCATCTTCGAAGCTTTTGCAGACTCATTCCCAAATTGCCTCAGGTCGTTCTGAAGTTAATTAAATTCTCAATGGTGGCACTTTTTCTCCGTTGAGATTTTTCTTGTTTTTCACCGCTAAAAATTCGTTGAAATTCAAGTCAAAGATGATACTTTTCATGAGCCCATACATATATTATACCGAGTCATATGTTAATACAGTCATTGCTGAAAGCTTTCGCTGATGGAGTGTAAGTCAACAGACGAGGGGAGAGCATAACAATTCATTATTATTTCAGCCATGGAATCATGATTGCTGTATTTACTGTGATGGGATTTTCTTTTAAAAAATTCACAAGCCTCTGGAAAACTTTTCTTCGCCAGCGAATTGCAATCCACTCTTCTCTTGCAGTGTTTTGGGGGTAGAAAAACCACACAGAAATTTCACCATCCAATTTTCATAAATCCGTGCCTGGCGGAAAACCCTATTAAATTTCCCACTGGAGACTCTCCTCAAGAATATCAATTGCTCTCCCTGACAACTTGCACAGAGGCAGAGAAACTCCACAAGAAGTGGCCTATTTTCACGATTTCCTAGGAAGTGTGTGACAGACACTTTGCGCTTATCGTGTTGATTTAGTCGCGACATGTGTGAAAGCTCTTGCAGCCACGTGAAAATGAACTTTGGCGTGTGAGATGTTCATCCCTCACAATTGAATTTGAAGTGAGTGCCTCCAAGACTCACAGTCACTTTGCATAATTAATCATTCCACCTTCAATACCGACGCCCCAAAAGGTGCCTGGGAACGCCGCCCGGGCATCCCAGGCGAGAGTGTCGCTTTGATGATGGAAAATGGCAGGCCTAATGGTGCTTAATTTTAAATAGACAGTGATGGAATGGACACATGGAGTGAATATTGAATTAGGATTATTCGCCTGTAGTACACTCTCGATGTTAGATGCCTATCTGACGGTCGAAGAAGTGTTTATTTTTGAGTGAATTTCAGATACACCCTCGGAGAGTGATTGATAGCATTGCTAATATTGGCTTGTTATAATTCCCTCTGTCGATATGGGCCACTCTCTCGCCCTGACTTCTGCCGCTCGCCGGACTGGCATTTGCTCCGCATCAATTTGAATTCTTTATGGACATTCCACAGACAACGTCCCAGCGACACAGGATGGCTCCACTGCTCAACCTGCACACGATCAGGGGCTTTATAGTGTCTCTAGTGTGTCTCCTTGCTGAGAGCGCTGAGTTTTATCACTAAAATAGCGCCAACACATAATACCACATGTTGACAGTGCGATAAGAGAAGTTATCTCTCATTTATGTATGGATACTCTCAGTTTTGATGATAAGAGTAAAAGTATTTGAGTGTCTCTCCTCAGCCTGTCTCTTCATCCTCTCTGCTCTTGAACGGAAGAAGGTCATCCGGTGTTGAGGAGGACAGTCTTGGTGACTACTTTCACGCTATCTCATCAGTTCGGAAATCATCCGCCTGGAGAGTCGCGATAGATTACCGGGCATTTCAATTGAGCCGTTCTTTATGGCCAATGCGCTCAAATCATCCAAAACATTCCACTTACCATCGCGCAGATCAAGTGACTGAGGCATATTAGCAGTGACGTCAAGATAACACCAATGTTGATAGTGATCTCGCCGAGCAAATGAGAACAACAATTCACTCATTCCTATCTCTTGAATTTCTCATTCGAATTTCGCGCGATGGCAAGCATCCCGCTTTTTACTGCCCCTTTTCCTCACTCGAGTAGATCATCAAAATCATCCCCATAAAGCCACCTGATGTGACGACAAATAAAAGAAGAACAGCCAGAGAAAGAGACACCGCGTTTTACGATACGGGAGCCACCCTCAATCAATGGAATTTTCGCTCTTTAATCGCGACATTCGCAGCGAAATTTTGAAGCTCCAGGATAGAGCAATAAAAGTATTTCCGCTTCATCCCCAGTGTAATTAAATTCCCCCCACGTCTCCAGCACTATTTGACAAGCTATTGAGAGCTTGCGAAATGTCACGAGCATTTGACCTTTCGCCCCTGCCTGTGGGTGGGTGTATCGACGGGCTTTCTCAAACTTAATGGCCCTCTTTCACAATCATATGATCTTTTGCGTACGCTGTGACAGTTCAGGATCCAACGGTACTCGATAAGGAATGATTTTTATGGTATGGCCTTTTATATTCTCCTCACGATGTTCACGACTTTGCTTAAGTCATTTTTTTCAAAAAATTTCCACCAACCAGTTTTTTCGTGAACATGGCGAAGAGTGCAAGTTTCCCCAGAAATTTTCTGCTGATGCTCTTGATTTTCCATATGGCAAGTAAGTAGAAGAGGATTTGCCTCATGTGGTGATGTTGATTTATATTATTGTTTGAATTCTTCAGAATCATCATCAGCCAGACCAATAACGGGTAAGAAAATAAGTAAAAAGCCGTCTTAATGTGTAGCAGTTGACTTTTTTTTCCTTTCTTTAGTGGTTGCTTCTGTCGGCGTCAGTATTGAACTTTCAGTAGACGCAACACTTGGTGTAAGGGTATCAGGAGTAAATCAGACTGTAAACGGAACTGGAAATGTTACTGGAAATGGATCTGTTGATATAGCTGGAAATCTATCTGGGAACATTATTGCAAGTGCAACTGCAGATTAAACTGGTGGCCAAACAGCTGTTCAAATTGCAACGACTTGATCATTTATAGGGGGTTTGATCTCCAATTCATAGATATGCAGTCGAATGTTTTTTTCTCAGAATAAAATTTCCGACGTTATTGTAATTTTTCGGCAATTTTTTTTTCTAAAAATGCAATTCTGAGACGATAAGAAATAGGTGGAAAAATAAAGATCTTTGTGAGCACACTAAACATTGTTTAACTGAATCTAGTTTTTTCAATCTTAGAAGCAACCTTAAAAAAAGAGTACAAGATTCAACCAAAGAAGTCTACAAAGTGAAGGGTAAAGATGTTTTCTCCTAAGCCATTAATTCTGGAACCCAATTCGACCCTCCAAAGGTCCTCAATATAGTTAAGAAGGTCAAGTAATGGCAGAGCGATAGCATTGATAACGGCCGATAATCTCACCAACTGCCCTGATAAGCAGATGACCCAGATCAAGCCTAAATTGCCCACCTAAAATAGTGACAACTCGATAGACTCTGGGCACGACCCCGTTTCATCGGCCCTGTTTTGCGGTACTCACAGTGGTCTCCAGCTCCTGATAGTAGGACTCGCCACTTCCGCGGCGCGATCCGACGCACATGGCGCGCCTCAGGAGGCGCGACAGCAGGGAGCAGAGGCCACATCGCTGCATCTGGCCATCTGTGGAGCCCTGCCGTGGTGATTCGCCGCCGGTGGTGTCTTGTGTGGCGCCAAGGCAGCCCGCGGAGGCTCCCCGAGACCCCTTGGAGGCGGCCACCGTGGCGATCTCTATAGCACCGCGCGAACAGGACAGCCGGGAGTCACTCGGTCACTGTTCACGCACTCAACATCGGAGGGGAGCGAATTGGGGAGCACCTCGAGAGTCTGGGGGCTTCACTGCACTATAAAACCGAGCGGGGATTTACTGTTGGAATATTATTCAGGTATTTCAACAATTCAGACCAACAATTCAGCGACACGCGCGAAGCGGTTGGCGTAAAAATAGCAGCATCCTCAGGAAAGGAGCCTAGGAGGGCCGTCTAGCCCTGTTTCTCGCACTCTCTCGCGGATCCGCGCTTAGCCATCTGCCGAATCGTCAGCATACAGCCAGGAAGCACGGCTAAGCCATCACGTGGACCCTCCCGGAGTGTCCGCGTGGCCAAATGTCAGCCGGGCCACTGTTTTGGACTGGCAAAGGAGTTTTTCCACCTCGGATCTCAAGTCTCAGGTGTACGTTTGAGTCTTACATAAAGCCCGTGCGCGTGTGTATGTGTGTGGAGTTTGCAATTTTGGGGTTCACTTAGCATCCAAATTCACCTCTTAGCACATCACATTGGCCATGGAGCACCGTTCACGCCGCCGCGTGCTCACCTTGGCTCACGCCAGAGCCATCACGAGGCGACCAGTGTGCGATCTGTGTGGGTGAATTTTCACGAGATATCTTCCCGAGCAGAGAGTCACTGTGTGTGCGTTTTTCCGGAGCACCAGAGCGAGACAGCAGGGCGGAGATTGGCAGATGGGAGAGAAAGAGGATCACGACTCTGCACTCTGGGTCACTCGGGCCGTTCACACTGTCACGAATGCGACAACGTCACACCTCCAGCATCCAAGATGCGGGGGCAGCCACCAAAGAGAGGAGAAGTTATCTCACGACGCGGCAAACGCTACCGACTGTATGCCTTCTGGCCTGGTCGAGCTGAGACTGAGGAGACCTCTCGCTGACAGCCGAAGCATAACCAGCTCCGTCAGCCAACATGTGAGACTCTCTTCCGCGGTCGGGCTCTCGCTCTCGCACGCCTGCCCACTCGTTCTGGCACGAGCGCTGCCCCAGCGCGCCGTCCCCTTCACGCGCTCTCGTGCGCCTGACACGAATTCCATTGAGGCGGCGAGAGAGAACTTCTGTGACGACACTTCGGCTACCAAAGTGAGACTTGGGAGCAGAGTTGCCAGCACTCCAGATCAAAGATGACTCAGTCAGGAGGATAGGATGAATGTTGTTTGAATGATCTCAGATCGACTGATCCTCAAAGTTGCGACCTGTAAATTTATCGCGCTAAATTGTGCTCCAAACTGAACACTTTTGCTCTCATTGCCCGAATTCGCTGAAAGTCCCATTAAACAGCCGCCAAGCGACAAACCACACATTTCTGTTCGTGCTCTTTGTGGCAAATAGTGTCTTCACTTCAAAACACTTCAAAACGTGTGATTGCTTTCGGGACAAACAATAGTTTCCAAATTAGTTCCACGGCGCAAACATTTGGTGTGCAAACAGGCAAATATTGGGACAGACTGAGCTAGACAAATGGGATTAAACTGGATTGCCATCTGGTCGCCCTGCAACTCTGGGCTCCGCACGGAGAGTGGAGAGGCTTCAATGGCAAATCAATGGCTGAGGATTGGGTTTCGGGTGTTTTGGAAGAGTGTCACTCACCCCAGGCTCGCCGCCACTTGCACACTGTGGGCTGCATTGGGGCGACACGCCAGGGTGCAAGCAGAGGCGCCCGCGGAGCCCGGGCTGTGTCCGGAGAGACTCCCGGTCCGCATCCAGGGCCGCGCCTCTCAGGACGCCCTGCGTGCGCAGCGTGCGCGCCTCCAGTGGGACTCCTCGGGTTTGGGGGAAGCTTTCCAGGGGACAGAGAAAGCTTAGCAAGGGCCAAAGCTCCGAAATAGGCAGAGAAGGTGATGCGATTGTCAACAAGTTGGGCTATTTTTACCTCCTCGCAGCCACTGTGGCATCTTTTGGACACATTTTATTTATTGTCACACGACGGTATGGTGAGAATTCTCAACAATTTCGCGGCGAAATGCGAGATATTCGCGCGAATTTATGTGAAGAATATATTTTTCGGCCCGGATTTTATGGCTTCAGAATGCCTTTCTCCTCATAAAAGATTAATTTACTGCCTGAGAGAAATCTTGCGAGAGTCACTCGATTGTGCGCGATGAATCTCACACAATGTTTTGTATTAGAAATTCATGCTTTGTCAAGTGTTCCAAAGTAGTATAGCTGTAAAGTTCATAAATGCATGATGCCCATGTCAGTTGTGAAGCCCTTTCTTCTGTACTCTTGCGCATTTTCAGAACAATTTCCCAATATTTTGCGTGTAGCAATTAATTGCGTACGAAAGAAATTTTGTGACTCAACGAAAATTGGTCAGAATCGCTCTATAAATCTCTCGCGAGAAATCCCCAGCAAATCTCTGGCATGTCATAGCGGAGAACCGCAGATTTCTCAGCATTTTTTTATTGTATCATCATAATTAATAAAAATAGATTGGAAGCAGAGACCATGCGAGCTGGCATTTGCCAATTTGCCCCGAGATCTCACATGTGATCCAATCCAGGAATTCAATTGACCTTCCCAGAGCGCCTTGACATCCGAGGGGAGATTTTATGGCTGATATTTACTATCATAATGGACATAAAACATAATTCCGAGAGTGACGAAGGCGACAAATCTCATGTCTGCACAGCGTCCAAATTCGATTGGGGCTCAGCACGAGGCCGGGGGCCGCCGAGGGAGAGGAAATTCCATCAATTTAATGCCAACACGCCTTTGTGGGCCCTCCTGTGACCGCAGAGGAAAAGTTTGGGTGGGAAAAAGTTGCCTCTCCTCGGACGTCTTCGCCGCCAAGATCAGAGTTGAACAAACTTATACCCTTCGCCTAGGATATTTATTCAGAGGACGGACAACTCATTCCACCGCTTTTTTCTCCGTCATGAATTCTTCAATTAATATTCAATAAATTCTATAACGAATTCTTCCTCCTCAAAGAACCTTCCAATCCCCTCTGGCCGAGAAGCCATTGGCTGAGGGGGATTTATTAAATTTCGGATGGGTTCGCTTTTATCGCAAGCTCGCAAAGGGACCGAAGATGTGAGAGTAATTTACTATAATTCATTGATTAGGCGCTAAGGTCAGAGCTTTTCATAAAACTTATCCACCCAATGGGAAAAGTTGGTGAGTATTCAGTGAAATGTTTTGCCATCATATCCCTTTCTATATGTATCAAAAAGAAGACCTTTTGATATTCATTCAGAAAATTACTCTTCCCCTTTACTGGCCTTTGAGCGTTTTTTTCTTTCTCTATACCTTGGAGGAATTTTCTATAAAATAGTGGGGAATTTTGTGCGCCTCTCCGTTCACCTATTCTCAAATTACTATTACAGAATCATCGTAAATTGGATTTCTAACAAATTTAATATGACTCTGGGAGTGGGCGAATGGATAAGAATGCCCAGATGGAATTATCGAAGGAATGTGTAAAAATTTCAATTACCATTTTCTCCATTCTGGGCACGTGCTGCCTTCGAGGGAGAGAATTTTTCACCTATTTCCTCAATTGCCCTCTCCACGGGTGAAAATCGCTCAGATGGTCATTGATTTTAAAGAGCCTCCCTTGGTAAAAAGCTCTCCCCTGTCGAGCAATCGATTCGGCTAAATTGCATGGGAGAAGCGCCCCATGAAGATATGGAGTGGCGAAGAATGGAATTGGACAAATTAGACAATTTCATTAAACTAATCCCGACAGCAGATGGTCCACTTGCCACGGAGGATAAGCAGCAGGCCCGTATCGATGAATTTTTAATAAAACAAGCGAATTTGTGTGGATGTTTTCTTGCTCTCGCGATTGCTTTTGTATTATTTAATTGCGAGGGGCGAGTGATGTTTTAAAATGCCTGTCAATGTGACAGCTGTCACGTTATGTCACTTTGACAGGTAAACGAACTTTTTGACATATCAAGAATTAAATCTTTAAAACCTTTTCTCTCATAACTTCAACCTATTCAGTGCCCCCCAAATCAATCCCTCTTTTTTTCCCTGTGAAAGGAGCACCCCAAGAAGGAAATCCAAATGGACAGCAATGGCTTTTGCTGTAAGGAGTTGTATTGCGAAGAATCTAATCACAGTGGAAAATCTGTGAGTCTCCCAGTGAAAAGCACCGAATAATGCGGGGCTGATATTGAAAATGATTTAAATGGGAGGCGAAAGGGCGCAAAAAAGACATACAAATCCCTCGCCAAGAACTGTTACCAGAAGGAATTACATTGGCAATGTGGGCTGTGGGATGAGGTGGAAAAGCTGAAGACCAATTTCCTCTGCTTTTGCCTTTTTCTCGCTCCCCGAAAACACATCAAATCAGGCCCCAAATGTGAATATCTATAAATAGTGATTCGCTCCCTTTTTTCCATACATTCTAATTTAATCCCTCCTTTGAGTGTTCCTCGCTCCGTGAGCGCCTTATTTCGAACATCCCAAATCAACATTCTCGCTCATTCATCAGGCGAAATTGAGTTTTGCTGCAACTGTCGAACGATTTTGGCCATGATAGTTATGGGCGGGGAATTCGCAGGAAATTTAATAAAGCTCCAGAGCAGCGTTGGCGGAAGAGGTCGAGAAGTGACCGTAATTCTATCCTTCCATGTGAAATTTTGAAGACATTTCGCATTTAGAAGATTACACACTAATTTATTGGCCACTTGAAGAGGATTCGAGAATCCTGATGAAATTCCTTGAAAGTCCACTCAAGAGAGAAAGGCTCCCCATTGGATTTTCCCGGGGAAAACAGGGCAAATTGATATTGGACAAGGGTGAGATATCTGATGAAAAAGTGCACGCTGAACATCAAGAAAATATTATCTTTCTACGATAAAACTTCATGCTGAACAATTAACAGAAAGTTGTGCTGCAAACAGCATTCTATGCTGTATTTCAGATAAAGAATTCCTTGGGAATTAACTTTCGGAAGAAAATCTTCTTTGTGCATATTTTGCAACTTCAATATTTCCTCCTTTGTATTGATTTTCGACCAGAGCGTCGCGCTGAATGTTTAGCATTCCAGAGTGAATGTTTAAATTAATTCCTCATGCTGTGAGATAACATTCTTCACTCTCTCGATGCATTCAGGGTGGATCACATTTCTCAAAATACACCCTGATAATCTCTGATCCTAAATGCCTGATGCGCAATCATTCGCGAATGTATGGGTAGTATTTCATGTGAAATGCAAAATTGCCCCAAGTCGATTTGCCAGAGCGGAAGAAGAATATAAGTTTCACGAAGACGCGCAGGCAATTTCTCTGGATAGCATTTAATGAGAGCGGAAAGTATTGTGTGAATTTTTCTGCAAATTGCGACTGTTTCGGCAAATCGATTGAAGCGCGCGCGAATTATCTCAGCGTTGCGATCTAAGACATTTCAAAGCCTCAATCAAACCTTACGATTTTATCTGGGCATCCAATCCATTAGTTCTGGCTTTATCGCGCCGGGAAGGAAAATACATGGGATTTGATTTCTTCTCGCCCAAACAAATCACCCAAATTTGATAAGTTGCCGATCGCCGTTTCTGTTTTTGGCCATGAGAGAAGAAAAGGTGACAAATGATGCCATGCATAACTAATCGATTCCGGAGACGATAAATGGATTTCCTTTCGCTCGCCAGCATTTGCACCTCATTATCCTTGTGGTATGGCAAGAAGGATAGGCAGTAATTTGCTGTTCCATCTTCCCCTACACTTGACTGCGGCGAAAGTGATAGTTTGCCAGGTTTTAGAGTGACGTAAAGTCCCCTGCCTGACAATTAATATGATATTCAGGAAGCTTATGTGAAATTTAATTGAATTGAAAAGTCCATTTAGTCTCACGTTGAGCTTGTTTGTAATTAATTTAACGAATTTAACACTCAGGCTCTG